CTGGCGGCGCACAACCGCCCACGAGTTGAGCGCCCCCAGACATGCAAATGCTTGCTGTAGCTACGCAGTGCAATACCAAATCGGACGAAAATCAACGGCAGTCGTGGGGAGGTGTTGGTGTTCGCGAGGCACTACGTCCGACGCGCCTCCGAGCCGTGAGGGCACTCGGAAGGGTAGGAGAGAGGGACCGAAAGTGCACCTACTCCGGGTGCGGGAGATCCTGGCGAGACAGATCCCACATACAATGCACTGAGACCCATCCGTCCCCTTGTACGTGCGATGTTTGTGCACAGTGGTCGGCATCACCTGTGGCTTCGATAATAATAATACAACGACCAAAATAGCATTACCATTACAAATCCCACAATCTAACTGTAAAACGTATGCGAGGACAACTTGTAAAGCTAAAAAAAGATATTAACGGGGCCTGTTCTTGCAGCGCCTGCGTTAGCGTTCCGTCCCTTCTCTATTAGTGGACAAAGTGCGCGGTACTCTTCGTTGCTGGGTCGAAGTACAGAGCGAGCTTCGTAGCAAACTCCTATGCTAAGTGAAGTCGTGACCTTGACCCGCACAATAGTGGCAGAGCAAAACTCTCTGATTTTCGATAGGTAGGCTACGCAATACAAATTTTCTTCGTCGAGCCACGTGCTAACTCTAAAGCACACGACGCCAAAATTAATTCAAAACCAATTCAAACCGATTCCAAAGTGTAGCACTTTCGGTGTTTCGGAAACGTCGGAGCGGCCAGAAAGTCGCTTCCTTCGTTGTCTCAAATCGGCTAACGTTGAGCGAAAAGCGAAGCGCCCCTCGCCGCCGTCGGCGTTGTCTTGATCTATGTTTCAGAATGTATCTGCTATCGCGCAGGCCCCATACCATTGTGTGGGGTAGTGACCCGTCCGGCGCATGGCTTCTGTTTGTGGCGATGGCCTAGCCATCTCGTCTGAACCAAGCGCCGTCGTCTCGCTGAGGCCGCCGCTTGGCGTTGGGTATGGGTTGTCTTCTATAAAGACGAGGAGGACGAGCGGCAGCCTTCGCGCAAAAAAGCAAAGGGCTACTCGGCATTACCTAGCGCTACAGCTTCGTTGGCTGGCGCACGGTAGCAGGGGGATGAAAGCGACCGTGCCTGTTCTTGTGCTGAGTGAGTCGCGCCTGTATGTCGGTAGTTGGGCCGATCCTTCTAGCAGCACGAGCAGAGCCCTAAAAAGAGCAAAGGCGACGCAGGGCTGCAGAGCGTAAGAGCCGGGCCGTGTTTGGTGCGCTTCAAGGGTAGGACGTAGCGCCAGCGCGTGTGACTTGGAAACGCCGGGGCAGTGTTTTCCCCTTTTGGTTGGCCCAGGGGTTGCTTTTTGAAGCTGTGTGCTGACCACACGACAGCGCCCGGTGGAGTGGCGCCAAGATTGGCGGCGTCCCCAGGGTGGGCCCTTGCGATGGAGGAGCAACAGTCTTGGCAGGTCCTTCCAGTCCCCTTTAGGGTGCGGGATTGCCTGCTCAAGTGTGGACTCCTCGCGTAGTGTGGCCCACCTTTACAGAGCTGCCTGTGGTTTCGCTTATTCCGGCAGCTCGGGCAACGGAAGTGCATTCCGGACGGAGCTGCCCCGGGGCCGGGCAAGTGGTGCGCTTTTTTGTTGCCAATGGGTGATGTTGCGGCTTGGCTTGCCCAGGTACCGCGCCCACTCATAGATGCCCACCCAGTTATCATTTTCCGTATTTTCCGGAGAGCAGAAATTCGAACTCCGATTTTCTGCTTCCGGGGCTCATTTCAAAACCAAGTTCAAAATCCGGTCAAAACCAAATTTCTAATATGGGGAACAAAAGGTTTTGAACGGATTTTGAACGGAAATTGAGCGGAGATTGAAGTTTCGTTTTGAAATTGGTGGGGAATTTGAATTACGTTTTGAAATTGGCCGAAATTTGAGTCACGTTTTGAAATTGGCCTGGGGGGTGAGTTTCGTTTTGAAGTTGTCCCCCCCCTTGAAGAATGTGAATGTCGCTCCGAAATGTCAACCGGGGGCGCAGCCACGCTTCGAGCCTAGGGCCTCGGCCGCTCGATCGCCATTTTGCCCGGAAAATGCCGCCAAGCAGCCCCCGCAAAAGCGGCGGCAATGGCATTCTAGGGGCGCGGAAGAGCCCGAGTTTGAGTTGATTCATTCTGAGACTCAAACCCGAGCGTGATTCTCAGACTCGAGCTTGGTTGTCAGACTCGAGGTTGATCCTCAAAGTCAAACTCAAGCTGGCACTTGCATTCTTTTAGGCCAAGGTAGTTAATATCTATACACGTATAAGACTACTCATATTTATTATAATTATTTATTTTTAGTGCCTTCGCCCACACAGGTTCAAAATCGACAAAAGCAAAGACGTTGTTCATTCTGTCTGATCGTAGGAGATCGAGGCACTGTTCGAGGTGGCACTGTTGATTCGTATTGAAACAAAGTTTCCATCGAAGTGCATGAAGTTGAAGTCCCTAGCTATATGGTGTGGATGCGCATCAGTCTCAATTTGAATTTTTCGTTTGCTCGTCGGAATGAAAGAGATAGATGGAAATGCGCAACAAGATTGACGAAAACGATCCCGGACATCAACGCATGATACATTTTCTCGAACGACTACGACTCAACGCCCTACATGGTTTCGCGATGTTTTGCTACGATAATTTTTTCCGAGTCGTGCTAGTACTACTACTGCATTCCCAGAGAGGTACCCCGGGGCACAGTCAGTGTTGGAAAAGCAAGCGAAATATTATTTCGCTTTATCAAATTGGTATTGGAACGTGAATAATGGCGAAATGAAACACGATAAACTTAAACATAAAAATGATGGACACAGCGACGCAAATAGAGTTCAGATTGATAGTATTATTTCTAGAGCCTGAGAGGTACAACTACACAACATTCATATTGTTCAGATACAGATGATTATTGAGACGGAGATCAGCGCGCACTGCGACAATGATTGACTAGCTTCTCGTACACGCTGAACCTACTGTAGTACCCGTTGTCGCTGTTTATTCTTGGCTTGGTCTACTTCTCCTCCGCAGCAAATCAGAATCAGTTTCAGTTAGACTCTACAGGATAGCGTAGCAGTAGCTGGAGTGGCTGCAGAAATTGCATTCTATCAAAGGAAAAGGAGTGGAAGAGGAAGTGCCGGATCCGGTCGATTTAGGAACAACGTCACACGCGTCAGACCAGTCCTTGGTCTCGTCCCGGCCGGTCCTTGCGCTCGTCCCGATCCCGAACATATTGTGAGGGGCGCCACAAAGTCGGAAAACGCGGACGCGTAGAAGACGATGGAATTGTTCGACGACGCACCATCGGCCCCGGCGGCGCCAGGTCCTAATTTTGATTTTTTATTTCCTAGAGATAGTAGTGAAGGTGAAGGTGAACAACACGACCAAAAAGCGGCGAGCCGGTTGCTGTGTGCTGCTTTCAGGGAAGAGCATGAGGACCAGCTTTCGGCGTTTCAGGGATCAGGGCCACCGCTGTTGCAGTTTCAAGAAGAGTCTTCCTCTTCAGCAATCCACGGAGTTCTGGTTACGAATGAAGCAACGTCGCGCACAGGAGGACGAGGAAGTACAGCAGGAGGTGGAGATAATCAATATGCATTTCTTCTTGGCGCTGCGACGAACGCGAATGGGAATGCGCACTCAGCAGGTAGAAGTACAACAACTGGAGGAACTGCCGCAGGCGCTCTTGATATGCTTGTGGCGAGATCCAGCTCCTCCATTCCTGTTGGAACTACTGGAGCGATGAATTCGGTCGCACAAGTCGTGAGCACCTGTCCAAACAGTCCTGCAATTAGCACTGTTCCCTGCTCTCTGGCGGGCGCGGGTCCACGCGCTGCTTCTACCTATATTCTCACTTGTGCGGCTCTGGCGGATCCCCGCTCGGCTTCGACGTCGATTGCCACCGCTGCTACCCAAGCTGAAGCACATCATGATCTACAAATCATCGCACCAACTGGAGCAGTGGGAGTGGCCAATTCGCCGCGCCATCTGCACCTGTTTCCTGACTCGGAAAACTCCTCGGAGGGGGGTGATTTTGACGCCGACTTTCCTTCATCGCGGACGGGAAGCTTATGGAAGCATCAGAAAGTGGAAGATCAATAAGAAAAAATTTGAATGACATTGATTATAATGATTCCTTATGATGCATCACTCGAAGCCGGCTAACTATAATAGCAGCTTCGTCAAGCCAGACATTTTTAGGCACAAAAAAAACATTTTTCTCTCAGACAATTTCGTCGCCGGGCAGCAGTCTTGCATGCTGCTCAATAGCGAGACAGGTGTGTGAAGTTCTCCCGTGACGCTCTACTCTAACAAAGATGCATTTCGTCTTCGATAAAATGTGTCTCCTTAGCAAGAGCAACGCAAGATCTTCGGCTTCATTTTTTGCGTCCCGTGCAAGTGCAGCTTTGTTTTTTTGCCCCCGTGAAAAACAAAAACCATTTCCACATTCTTGACGACTTCCCCTCCTGGCGCTTCCATAAAACACTTTGAGCAGTCGTGAACCAACGCTAAGCACCCAGGTTGATGAAGATCGGATTTCGATTCGGACCCAGGAGCTGAACCCGCTAGCATCGGTGGAGGACGTCGAAGAGGTCACAATATCAATAAAGCCTGGGGGCAGCGCTGCCGAAACTGCAACTCCGAACGACTGCGCGAATCTTATCAGGTTCTCAAGCGTTACGGTAAGTCACATTGGTTGCTGTTACATGGCAACACATATGATACCAACATTCTTAAGTGCTATTATTGGCTCATATAGCAAAAGTGTAAGGGGTAGGGGGAGCGTGCGCGTCTTGGGTGATCAAATTTGACAATTGGGATGCTACTTTAGTTCGCGGAAGGCCTGTCATGCGAACAAGTAGATTAATATTTACAACATATACATTGCTTGACTTCCGGGTTTATCCTGTGCAAAAGTATCGTACTCGTATAGATCCGCTACTGGCATGCCAATAACCTCTCACCCCCGACCTCCCACCAACTTCCCATCAACTTCTGCCCAACCTTTCCACCAACTTCCCAGCTGTTGAGAAGTTGGCGTGGACCCTTTGCCGCGGTTGTTGGGAAGCTTGATGCGGAGTTGAAATCCACAGCAAGCTGCCCACAAGCTTCCGGCTAGAACGTCTCAAAAGGAATATCGCGGGCCTCGATTCGTGGCCGCGTGCGCAGTCACGAATCAGCGAGCTCCCGCGATGATCCTACTGCGGCTGCTAAGCCTGTGGCAGATAGCTTGGAAATCTCTTGCAGCTGGAGACTTGCGAGGTCCTGCACAAAAGACGCACACCTACGCCGAACACCCCGACGCATTTCGCGGCAAGCTTTGAGCTTTTGGAGGCGTCATGCAATATTGGAATTGCGCGGCGCCTCCAAATTAACGCCGGGCCGTCCGTTACCAAAAACGCCCCCAAAACAAATATAAACCGAATGCAAAACGCCAGCGCTTTTGACTTCTTGGGCCGCTTAGAATCTTTGTCGCAAGAACCAACGTGGCGGGCAATAGCACGGCTTCCGTGCCCACTTCATGGCGGGGCTCGGGTGCGCCAGTGTGGTGGGTCGCGTGTCTGAGGGGCGCAAGACAACTCGGCTGCAGTTTCATTGTCGCCGGCCAGTTAGATATGACGCGGACCCTAGCAAAGTGGTACGGTGGACGGAACAAGAGGCGGGCGGCTTCAAAGGGTCGAACGAGCCCGTTGCGCTCGCTTTGGACGCACTGTGTGGACGCTGCCCGATGTGCCGCCCTGCGCCGTCGGCCAGACGCTCCAGTGGAGCCGTCAGAGATGCGACGCCTGCGGCGCCACCTGGGGCGCGGGCTGATGACAGGAGGAAAATGCGCGCGCGCAGTATTATTGCCCGAGCTACTCCCGGCGCGGTTTCTTTATAAGCCGGCGGAAAATAGCGCCCCGCGATTCGACGCGGTGTGATGCTCTGTGGTCCGGGTTGCAGAGAGCCGGCCCGTTCGTGGGCCGGCCCTCGGAGCAGAGCAAGCGCTTTCCTGTTCCTTCTCAGGACAGGGCAGCTGGGTCCAGCTCTTCACCGGAGGTGCAACGCAAGGCCGACGCGTTGACCTGCGGCATGAGGCGGCCCCCGCATTCAGTTTCAGACTGAGCCCGCGAATTCAAAGCGAGTCCGCGAATTCAAACGGAGTCCGCGAATTCAAACTGAATTCGAGGGCGCCTCTTCAATTTCAAACCAAGTCCGTTGCTTCGTGGAGCGGCCGCACCAATTTCGAACGGAATCCGAATTCCATCCGAACCCCATCCGATTTCCATCCGAATCCCATTTCCCTAATAAGCAATTGGACTCGGATGAAAAAAGGATGGAACTCGGATTCCGTTTGAAATTGGGCGGATCAATTTGGGGCCCAATGCGAGACCTTCTTCTGCGTTAGGGCAGAGTCGCTGGGCTAGGTTGTAGATTTTTGGCGCGCGCTGCCGCGCGCGCCACAGTCTGGGTGTTTTTCAATGCCCTTTCCTTTCACTCTGTGTTGCCCCGTGGTTGGTGTGGCGAGTTGTGTGCTCTTGGGGTTGTGTTGCAGCCTCTGAGCAGCAGGGCCGGCTGTCGCAGGTGACGCCGAGTCTTGTCATGCAGCCCTTCTGCTTTGGTTGAATCTGCGTCACCTGCGCTTCTGCCTCTTGACCGCTTCACCCATAAAGGCGCTGCTCATGGACAATTGCCGGTGGGGAGCCGGCTTCTCGCATGGAGCGCTTCTGCTCAGATTGCCAGGCTGGGCCGTGAAGCACGTGGGTGCTGCAACTGTACTGAGGCCAGAGCTGGGGCTTCCTTCGTTCGTTCGAAAGCTTTTGGCGCATGCGGATTACCAACCCGAGCCAGCTCTTTCGTGGTGGTGTTGCATCCTGAGCAGGTTTGTTCCATGTTCTATCTTCCCTTTCCGCCTATACCGCAAATCCTTGCCGCGCTGTGCGTCCTTGCTCACTCCGTACAGAGTGTCGCGCGCCTGACAGATTAATCTTCCTGCCGTGCCTGTGGTGGCATCCGGGGCCATGAGCCCAGTGCGCGACTGCGAGGGTTCTCTGCGCTTCTGGGTGAGGGTCTCGACCTACATGCCATGCCCGAAGCGTCTCAGCATGCTTCCCCAATTCTCTTTGTTTGAAAGCTGCTGCGTTTTGAATTGCGTGCGAGTTCGGTTTGAAATCGAATCACACGACGGCACGCCCAGAGCTAACCTCCAAAAGCCCAAAGCTTGCCGCAAAATGCGCCGGGATGTTCGTCGCGAAGTGCGTAGAGAAGCCGCTGGGCAGTGAGTTGGTAAGCTAGGCAATAAATAGCGTAGGGCGCGCGCAGAGTTGCGGCGTTTTTGTAACAGAAACAAAACGCAGCGAGTTACTAAGTGGCGCCATTCAGTTGATTGCTATAATTCGCTACGAACTGACGCGGGAAAGTGGCCCGAGTTCAAAGCTTGCGCGCCGAAGCGGCGCGCAGCTCCACATCGCCGAGGGCCGCTATCCTCCGCTTCCGTCTTTGATGGCTGCACGCAGGACAGATCGTGCGCGCAGACATCGCGGCGGAGTGACGCGGCGCGTCGCTTGATCGAGGCGAGAACGACGGCAGCACCTCGCGCCACTTCTCACCGACTTTCTTCCGTACCATCTTCGCGACCAACTTCGCGGCCGATTTTTCCCCAGCTTTTCCGTCAGTTTATGCCGGGGGATTGTAGCGGATTTATACGAGTGCGATACTTTTGCACAGGATAGGGCTCGGGTACGGCATACCTCCGGCGGCAGGTGCCCTCGACAGATGACCTCGGCGCGTGACCTCGGCCGGTGGCCTGGTCAGGTTGCCCGTTCATGTCGCTGCCTGCTGACGTGACATGCAAACTTGTGCGACACTACAGAAAACGAAAAAGCTAAAAGCGCAAAACAAAGAAACTGCGACGCAGAAAATGAAAAAGATAAAAACGCAAAGGCACAAACTGCCCCGACACAGAAAGAAGTGCTTGCGTTGCAGTGTAAAAAAAAGCAGCAAAGTGCTTATCTCTGCAATGCACGCCCAGGGGGCGGCTGCTTGATTCGCCTGCGGAATCGGGAACGCGTTGCGCTTCAGTATTATAGGACTCCTCTGCAGCACCAGCAGCCGGGCAGAGACGCTCCCCCCCTTTGCTTCGATTTCTGTTTTGTGTTGCAAATTGCAGGGCACCTAGTTCGTGATCCTTTCGCCCATAGCGCTCCGCGCACTATTAAGCCACTAGCACTATGCGCGCGCCTCGTGTGCGGCGAGGGGCGGACGCTGTCCGCCCCGATGCCGAACACCCTGCCCCCACTAGCGTTTCGCGCACTAAGGCACTCGGCGCGCGCCTGGTGTGGGGCGCAGGGCGGACGCGTCCGCCCCGATGCCGAACAGCCTTCCCCCAGCCACAACTAGCGTTTCGCGCGCTATCAATCTAAGCCACTAGGCGCGCGCGTGGTGTGAGGCGAGGGGCGGACGCTGTCCGCCCCGATGCCGAACACCCTTCCCCCGCTAGAGTTTCGCGCACTAAGCCACTACGCGCGCGCCTGGTGTGGTGCGAGGGGCGGGCAACCCGATGCCGAACACCCTGCCCCCAGTAGCGTTTCGCGCACTAAGCCACTATGCGCGCGCCTGGTGCGTGTGAGGCGAGGGGCGGACGCTGTCCGCCCCGATGCGGAACACCCTTCCCCCACTAGCGCGACTAGGGACGGGCACAAAGCCCCAGCGTGGGTCTTGTTTTACATGTTTAGTGTGATAGAGATACTGATTGACTCTGCGTGACACGTCATATAACAGCAACGGCAACCAATCCAACCGCAACGTTGAGGATGCCATAGATCATGTTCGCTCTTCTTCTTGTGCGGACAAGCACAAGCAGCTGGCCTCGTCAGAGCCGCTGGGCTGCGACATGAGGTCGATTCGCTTGCTATGCATTGCATATTACTAATAGATCTAGGTCTGAGACCTTGTTGCGAGCTCGAATTTATTTTTGTGACTGATAGCATGAGCATTACAAGTTTAGCATTTGCCTCGACGCCTAAGTCCAACTAAGTACTGCCAAGCATGAGCATTACAAGTTTCATCTCAAGTAGTGCTTGCTTGCACGTTGTACTCAGTTCGCAAGAGCATGAGAAAAGAAATCGCGCTTCGTCTGCTGTTACCAGCGATACCGAGGAATGCCAGACGAGTCAGATAAGTCGCACGTTTTCAGACCCGGGCACTCATGTTTGTAGTTGATACATACGTTCCCAGGACCACATTCTTCATCTCGGGGCCACCTGCTCCACCACCCCGGGAGGGATCGGCTCTGAGCAGTTGCGCGATTTTTTGTCTGGCACGCCGTCGCCAAATTTTTCAGATCGGGAGCGCGAGACGCTCTCACCGGATTGCGGCTTCCCGCGTAGCATGGAGAAAAAGCTCGGCAAGGAATGTGAGGACAAGATGTAGGAAAGAGGGACCAAACTGCACTAGCAGGTATCGTAGCGGTGCACGGGCGGGAGTCCGTCTCATGATTCGGCGCGCGTGCAGTTTGTTTGCTTTCCCGGGACCTGTGCAGAACATGAGCAAGCAGAGTTTCTTGTGGTTATGTGATTCATTGCCCTGATGAAAGAATCTTTCACCCGGGCAATAAAGCACATACTAACTCATGATACCGCTTTAGTAAAGCAGAAATCTAGTTGTAGAAGAAGATGATGAAGATCTAGGACTAGTACTTAGTCGATTGTGTGATCAAAATTTCGGCACTATCTGAGTCGTCATCAAAATTTTGTTCGCCTAGAATGATATTGATAGTCACCATAGAGAACATGATCGTAACGTGTGCCGCTTTGTCCTTTGCCCAATTTCCTACGTTGTCCTTCTCCATACTAGCAAAGAAACGGCCCTGGAAATCGTGGTGGAGTCGTGTGTATCAGGTGCAATTTATCATGTCTGGGTCTCGACGTTCTGGGCGAAGAACGCACCGATGCATCCATCTCGGGTGTAGCCCATCCAAGTCAACATCTGGAATGCGTGCTCTGCTGGCATCGCAAGTTTTGTGAGGACTTGTATACGCCGAGCCAGGGTAGAAGTGTGAAATTGACCACAGAAGACTTTTTATTTTTTGCGTCCCCTGACGCTGCGCGAAGGGTATGTACCACAAGTGGTTTGCATTGCAGTTCCTGACCGCCCATAGGCCTTATGATTTGCGATGTATACTGTCCGTTCTCCGGCGTCGTGAAAGCCGCCGCGGCAGGGGCTTTGCCGAGAAAATACACCAAAACAAGCCAAGGAAACACTAGCAAGCCCGCGGCGTTTCAGCACCGGCCGGAGCTGGTGCGGACCGGGGAAACTGATGATCTGTCAAACAACGATCCAAATGCTTACTCGTATAAAAAGTCGCAAGAAATGGAGAAAAGTATACTGAGGTTTCCCGAAGCTGCGGCCTCCAATGCGAATGGTAAAAACATCACGTTGAGTTGTACTGCTCAGGACGTCTTCTACGCAACTAGAGATCAGGAACGTTTCCATGGATCAAAATTTACAGTTGATCCGCTGTCTTTCATATGCACAGCAAAACCAGAAGTATTGTACTCGTAGTAATCGGAATATTTTTGCGTGACTTCGGTAATATAGCATGACAAATTCTGTATTCCACTTGCCATGCTGAGTGTATTTCTAAATGCAATTACTACCAGTGCGATAGGATGCTTTTGCGATCCATATTTCATGGCTCCGAGCGGCACCACCCCGTCGGCAACCCCAACAGGTGGTTCAAACACAACGCCGAAAGCCGCAGACGCATTTGCCGCAATCCCAGCAAGCGCAACACCAGTTGCAGGGGCTGAAGATCCATTCGTACTTCTACTTGATATTCAGTCCTCTTGTTTACTTGTTGTGTGACTATATGTATATTCATTTTGCATTGAGGATTCTGAAAAGCAGGGGCGCACGACGATTTGGCGCCCGCGTGGTGCAACAATCGCGAAGGGCGGTTTCGATAGTAGCAATAAGACAGAAAGACAAAGAAAAGGGAAACCAAATAAGAATAAACACTAGGCGGCTGCGGATCCGGGGAAAACAGCACTGAAAGAGTGGGAGGCTGACCAAGACGCGAAAAACCAAAAGAAGGCACAGCAGGAATTGGAGACAAAAAAGAAAAGACGGGAGGAGGCAAAAGCAGACCTGGCCAAGTGGTACGCAGATAGGAAGACCGCCTTAGAGGTATCATATTTTTATTCTATTTGTATGCGAATGCGTGTGCTTGTCGCGTGAGTCTGAGTGTTGCTCGTTGGTTGCATGCAGTGAGGTGGTCACGAAAGCGCTTCCAATCTGGTGGCTCTCTGGCAAGAACATGGCGCCAGCAAAAAGCCCGTTTTTTTTTTTGAAGCGACCGAAAGTGTTTTTTTGCGAATAAGTCAGGAACAGGACCCTTAGATCCATTTGATTACTCTATCGGGGTCCTCTGCATCGAGTCGTCCGAAGAGTAGGGTACGGCTTTTCGCTTCCGCTTGACAAAAAGATGCACGGGAGCCGACAAGAAGAAAAGTGCGGCCCCTCATCTGAGGCGCATACTGCGGCCGTAGATTCGTGCAGTCTTAGGCGCTCACGAAGGGACACCAAAAGAGCGTGAGTGTCATTTTTGTCTGCATAGGAAAGGAAAGGTCAGATGAAACGTTGCCGCAAACGTCAACCGGTTGCCATGCAGGGAGCAAGCAAAGCCGAAAGATTCAAAAGCTGGCGTTTTTTATTGACAAAAATATGAAAAAGAAAAACAAAAAGGCAAAAGCCAGCTAAGCCTGATGAAAGTCTATCCGCATGCTATGCGGCTGATGGCGACGCCCACTGATCCACCCCTGGTAGCGGAGGCCCAGGCGGAGTCATCGTGGGAGGGTGTGTAACTAGCACTACTAAGTTTTTCGTCGAACAGGCTGAAGTTGCTCACGATCTTCATCAGCCGCGACACCCTCGCGGATTCAATTAGGCGCGAGGTTGTGGCGCCACAGAGCGCAGGAAAGTTGTGCGCTGTTTTTGCGAAGCAAGCGCGAGTCCAAGTTTAGCGCAAGAAAAAAGCACCGAGCCCACCACCTCTACCTCCGTTTCGGCGACTCTTATGAGGGAAGTCGAAGTTCTCTGTAGTAGTCTCGCTCCTTTCGCAGAACTTAGGACCTCCGCAAATTTATATTTTCTTCCGTAAACGTATGGGTATGTCATGGCCGCAAGAATTGCAATGGCTCATGATGTGGCTGCTGATAGTCATGTGCCGCTAAGACTTCCAGCTCTTTATATATTTGATCTAGCTGCTAGAATTGTAGTTTTCATTTTGAGACAAGAATCAGCAATGTAGTACGAAACAGGATTAATCGACAACGATACCCGATATTCTTTTCTGTCTTCTTCTAAAAGTGCAGCGATCTCGAAAATTACAGAAAAAGAAAGCCGCGAACCGACACGAGGAAAAGGAGTGGCTTGCAATCCAGAACGCAAGCGGCGCGGGCAAAAATCCGTGGGAGCGTGTTCTTAGCATGATCAGCGACAATGCAGCGGCGACCAAAGCGGGTAGGTTATTTAACAAGATTTGATAAATATGAAGCGCACTATATATAGAAATAGAATTATAAATGTATTTTTTTTTTTCCTGCGCCTGCGGGATGAAACTACACACAGAAAAATGCCTCCCGGAGAGGATTTTTGCCACAATAAAGCCATGATATTAAAAACATTAACATCGCAGACTCCGCTGTGCCGCCATTACAAGACACCTCACGATTCAAGCAGGTGCTGATTCAATTGAAATCGAATCCCGTACCGAACTAAGTCAGTGGACAATCCGGGTCCGGGGCACATGTTTGCATCGGAAAAAAAAAGCAGATTTTTATTTTTTTTCGATGCGGTTCTGAACAGTATCGGAGAACGTACAGTAAAAAACGACGGCGCTTTGTAATGCTGGACGTGATTGTAAAAAAAGTAAAAATAACAGCAAGCCCCGACCTTGGAATAAATACCTTTGATGTAGTAGTTTGTTAGGTTGCAGTTGCACCTTTTTACCTATTTTTTTAAACGCCTAACTTCTCAAATTTTGTTGAAATGCATTTTGGCAGACCTGGCTCGCACAAAATCATAATCAAGGGAGAAGTATCATCATCACGATCGAGCCACAGATGATAAACAGGACCGCTGTGCTGCTGGTGCTTGGCGGAATTTTTTTTGGAATTGATAGCGACATGGGAATCATATACTATAAAGCCAAGCGACGCAGAAGTCGCAGCATCACGAGGATGGAGGTAAAAGAGTTAGTTTGAGGGCATTTCGGAGACCATACTATTACTAATCCTCTTTAAAAAAGGAGACATGGAGAGCCCTACGCTTGATGGTCAACAAGCCTCGTTGCAATGAAGATAAACGCGCGGCCGATGTTCTTCGATGAACTTCGTCCTCTGCTAAGGGATTGCGCAGTTGATCATCTTCAATAGCTTAGCATTAGCATGGCTCATATTAGGGGAAGGGGGCATGGCTCAGGTATGATCGCCATCAGTGACGGAGGGTCGATTGGTTCTCTTCACTTGCCAGGTTGTTGAGTGGGAGAAGAATGTGAATGGGCGAATAATTTCCATTTCATTGAGAGCTTCGTGACCTTTCGCAGCATAGCAAAGTAGACAGGAGTCCCAACCTACTGAGAAGCAGTGTGGTCTTGTCCTCAGCCTCACATTGCTGCAGTGATTCTATCTCCGAGGTACTGATTTAGACTTTGTATGCATTGATCGGCATCGGTCTGATAGAAAAAGAAAAAATAAAGCTGTTGTCGGATCATGCAGCCTTTTGCCAGGAAGTAGTATTTTTGTTGCGTGGATAATTGATGATCCTCGATTGGCGATACAAGATATACAAAATGCGTGTTCTAGTGGAGGACGCCAGCCACGCATAATTCCTCTGCGTTGCGGTCACCTCGAAAAGCATTTGGAGGATTACCGCGCGCTTGTTCGCTGGCGTTTCTCAGCTTTATCCTCCTGAACAAGCAGAAGTACTACACGAGGTCGGCACTCTGGCTGGTGAGTTAGAAACATGGAGACTTCGGGGGCAGGTGCAACGAGGAACCCGGCCTGGCCGCAAAAGGCATCCCACAGTCTGCGTCCGGCCTCAGCACCCTTGCGACGTGGGGTTCGTCGGAGCCGCGACGTGAGAAACTTGGCGGAGCCGGAAAGCGCGGGGACTTCGGTTGCAGGAGGGGATGACGAAATTGGGAACAACAGCTCGACAAAACCTCCGAAAATCTGGAAAGGAATGCGGTCCGCGGCACCCGACCACCAGCCTTGGAAGGAGAGTGTAGCGAAGATTCCGGGAAGCGAATACTACAATCGTAACGCCTACGAGGTATCGTCTATGGAACAGTTGAAATTCGACCAGCAGTTGTACCGGTCCTACAGTCGAGCAGACAATCCGCTGCAACGCAGCTATGCCAGCGGGACCCACCCGAATGTCACCCTGCGCGGTGTGCCGCTGCCCGGAAGCAGCTCCGGCGGCTATGCAGCACCAGATGAGGAACAGACGGGGGGACCGCGGGGATCCGGCAACAGCAACATGGCGTCAAGATTGGAGCGCACTGCAGCCGGTGAGTTCCGTCGCCCGCAAACCGGTGGTCTTCACCTCCGGACTTTTGACGGACACGAGAGGACTCTCACTGTAGGTTTAACGGTGAAAAAGGACCCCGACTCGACGTTTGGAGAGGCATATGGGGATAACACCGGCAGTATCAAATGAATCTGAAATAAATGCGTTTTTCTTCATTGGGTTCGGAACAAGCGTGTGCCGCTTGGTTGTCATGCACCTTTTGAAGGACGCACGGACAGGATACCGGTGATGGTCTGCAATGCACGTTGAAGAAGCTCCTGTGGCACCTTTTGGCGCCGCTCATGCAATACTGTTACGGATTTTTTTTTTTTGCGATCGACATCGATATTCGAGAACGAGAGCTGGCATAGATAGGGCTCTTCAGAGAGTTTATTATTGCAGTTTGCAATGCTCCGACTCCGAGAGACGCTGACGCAGACACATTTGCAATTTACATGCAGCTTCGGGACAGCAGCGATGCGCGCGAGTGGCAGGATGAGACTCGGCCGCGGGCAGCAAGGTTTAACTGCGGACCCCGTGGCAGCGAACGATGAGGCTGCAGCTGGTCTTCATGAAGTAGAAGGAACGTCCTCTGGGGCTCTCGAATTGCAGCTGTATAGTCAGTATGCATTGCCAAAGTATCGCATTACAGTTGTAGCCTAAATTCTCGCAAAGCAACTTCAAGTATTTTATTTCATCAAAAGGAAAAGTAAAAGGAAACAAAAGGAAAAAACAATTTGTAATCGTAATGCTGATTCATTGTGATTGGGATTAGCCATAATTGGCATTGCGGCCATTGGAGGCTCCAGGTAGTTAGATCTGCAAGTGCATTGCTAATGCATGAATGCGGTAAAATAAAGCATCAGGACGAGCGCGATATTTTTCAGAGGATAGCTCGCAGAAAGCAGCGCAATACCTGGGCACGACGGGCTTTGAGAGGTTACCCAATGGAGATGCATCAAACGAAAAGGTCGTGGTCAAGCTACCGCTAGGTTGGACGAAGCACCGTAGCACTCCTGAAGATGGAGGAGTTGCTGGCGATGCAAAACGTAGTAAAGCGTTTTACTATAATCGCTTCACAGGTGAGTCGCGCTGGGAGCGCCCTACTGCAGTTGACGTGTCCGATATGATGTACACGGAGCCGGCAACGAAACGCAAACAGGAGCTGAATGAGCAAAATACAAAAGAACAGGCACAGCAGATTGCTGCTATCGAGCAGAATGTTGTGGAGGGAGACGGGCTTCACGATGTCGACGAAAATCTTCCCGATATTGTGCTCTTTTTTATCATCATCTACCGCTACTTGCGAATGAATTACCGAAGGTTGCAGAAGCAGCTAAAGAAGGCCTTCGAAAAGCAGGTGGATGAGGAGGTAATGGCAATATTGATGCGAGAAAATGAAGCGTTTGCACTAACCCATATGGGCGTAGGCGTAGACCTTGTCGAGTACGTGGAGCCCTTGGAAACCAGAAAGATTCCTCAGAGTGCAACCGTCCACCCCTTTCTGTCGGAAGCGGAAGCGAAAACGTTGCTGCTGCGCATGCCAGCCCTTGGAGATGGTTTTGAACACTTCAAGACGTGGACGATGGAGGTTGGTAGACGTACTCGAGAGATCGTATGGGACTTTGGAATTAATGCGTTACGCTGGTCGCTCTCGCTGCTTTTGCATGATTTCTTCTCATGCAGAATCGCTATCGCCATATTGAAATAAGAAATTTTTCGTTCCAGATCTGTAACGCAAGACGCGCACGCTTCTCCCTTTCATTTTTGCTATTCCTGCGTCACAAAGAAAGTGAAATTCATGCTCATGCAGCAGCGAGTAGTATAACGCTTGAGAACGGCATAGAACGGCCGGGATGCTTGGATCCGTAGCTTGTGGGAACGATTAAACTATCAGGTACGTCGAGCGCATTTGTTGAGCAAGCCTTTTTATTTCGTCGATAACTTCTTGTATACTGCACTTGCATGATCAATTTATTGCCAACAGCAGCACCACATCCGCACTATTATTTCGCTCATTGCAGTTTTGGACAAAATACAAGTCTGCGAAAGTCGCACGATCAACCTACCAAATAATAGGCTCGCGGCCAGCCAAATGCTTCTTCTGTTCACTCTTGTTCCTCTTCCTTCAGCACTTTTTTTTCCACTATGTATGTACCTGAATCCACTTGCATAATATCAGGCTGAAGACGAGGAGAGAGGGAAAGTACCGGCAAAATCGTACTCCCTTGCGAGCCTTCAGGAGGAGCATGGTGGGCTGGAACACTGTGTGCTAATGGAGCGCGAGCTTCGGGAATATCCACAAAAAAACAACCATCCCCACCCATTTTTTACATGGCAAGTAGTGAAACTTACGCACATTTTGCGTGACAAATTGGATGGGGATGATTCTTTTTTTGTGAATAGGGAACGCGTACTGGAGATCTGTAGTGAAAAAGCCAGCACCTACGAGAAGCTCGCCCTCAAGCAGCGCACTGGGACCGCCCAAGACATGGCGCGACTAAAGGAGGCACAGAGCACATTACATCGCGAGCAGCAGGATTTAGCCAAACTCCGAAAGCAAAAAGAGGAGGTTTCTCGTGTATTGAAGCGAGTGGACAACAGCTACGATACCAGAAAACTTGACAGATAGCAGCTCCACTCGCACACAATGCAAGAACGCGAGAGCAAGTGTCTCCAGATAACCCTCATTAAATGCTACGCTGTGGCGAGACCTTCTTCATGCTCATCTCGACGCGTTAAACTCCCAGACCATAGAAGTTTGTTTCGGGAGGTTGTTTATTCACTTTCGCAAACCACGACGAACAGTAGCGTAGGAGGACCGGCACAGGCTTAGGCTTACTAAATAGACTAAGACATCAGGCACTTGGAGAAGATCTGACTGGGTCGGATTTACCACCGAACGCGAAACCCAACGAACCGAGGATGAACAGAAGGGAGAGTCGTGGCGTTTTTTGCTAGGCGACGCGAGGACGAAGGAAGAGGAAGAGCTAACCTTCCTGGTCAGAGTCGTGCTCGTGGTTATCTGAAATTTTGTACGAAGAAACAAGAAACGCAAGATGAACCGATGAGATGTGCTGACTGACACTCTTGAGCATCGAGGTCGGCCAGCGTCTGTTCGCAGCCTGGTGCTGTTCTTTTAGGAATAGCCCTCTCGTCCTGCAGATGTGAGAAGAGAGCGCTATTAGAACTTACCTCCTGGGGCCTTTTTTTTTCGGACTTCGTGCAACTGGGTTTAAAACTTGAAGCCACCGCACCGGGACGATTGGCCTCTACAGCTTTGTCAATATTTCATTTGGCAAGTTGGATGCGCGTGCAAGAAAAAAGCTTTGGTTATGTTGAGGCTTGGGCACGTACGTACCCCCACCCCTATTCGTTGCCCTTGTTGGTGCTCTAGGGAGAGAGCGAAGACCGAAACCAATGATGCGTAATTATATGTCTGGTCAGGTCAGACCCAGGCTGTGTTTGCTTTGTAAGATGTTGATTCGCGTTTGTGCTGTGACGACGTTGACGCCTAGGGAAGGGCTCAGGTCAGGAAAGCGATCTAGGAAGTATTCGACTCGTTTTTGTATGTGTTGAAATATGAACAACCGACTGGAGAACGTGAAGGTGTTTTGCCGGGTGCGGCCGCGACTTCAGCACGAATTGGATTGGGCGCCTTCCGACGGCACTGCCGCGGCGCTGGATTCGAATAGAAGCTCGCAGAAACGGACTTCTGTTTCGGCACAGGTACAAATACAATCAGATAACTGGTTTCAAATCACCAATAACAACACCACGGTCGAGGTACCGCACACAGCGCGGCTTGCTGCGGAGCCCGCGACATGGTGGGATCCGGCCCATGGCGCGAACAGAGACCAACTCCCGAGCGATGTGAGCAACTCGAACACACCCGCAGGTGTAACGACGACGACGAGCAGTGTTCTGGCTTCTAGCAATTCGATTGCTCCTTCGTCCTCGGCGACGTCCAACAAGTATGCCTTTCGGTATAATGGAGTCCTTATGCCACAGAAAAAGATAGGCTCAGGGAGGGGCAGGGCATATTTGTAAATGCAGAAATAAATAAAGTAAACAGCATTCTAGCTACACGATCGATCGCCTATGACGTATTTCAATTCCTATTTGTCTTGCTTTCTTGATTGCGCATCCTCGCCTACAGCCAGTGAGTGTCCGCTGCCTGGCCGGCAGCGAAGCCATGCGCGACAAAGCTAACAGCCGGCACACAGACTTACGGGCAGAAGGCTCCTGCTCTCAGAAAGAGCTGAGCCTGAGGAAAAGCGAAGGACGAAAGAGAAAAGAGAGAACAGGACTACAACATAGATTACGCAGAGAGCACTCGCGCCAGACTGGGATGAGTTTTTTGCGCGCTACCTTCAGAGCGACCTGGCCAGCCGCGTCTAAATCGATAGGCACTCGAGCGCAATGCTTTGCAATAAGTGAGTCGCGCCGTCTCCGGGGGGCCGCCCCTGGTCTCACTGTAGAAAACTAAGCAGGAAAAGGATCCCACCACGCGCCGCATTCAGAGGGTTGGAAGGCGCTTCGTCTTGGTCAGCTCGCCAGGACGTAGCGCCCATCCTGTGGAGCTTCGTTCAACGCGAAGAGGTTCGGGAGCATTTCTTGGCGAGAGCCTTTCGGTGGTCTCGTTAAGGCTCGAGGCTCCTCGAGGGGGCTGCTGCGCAGTCAGTAGGGGTCAGAGGTCAAAGCGTAAGTACTGTGAGCCGTTTTTGTGATAGATTTGTCGGCTCTTGACCTCTAGGCCAAAGAATAGAGCTACCAAGTCCCGCCTCCTGCTGTACGTGTGCTGGTAGTTGCGCCTGGTTCGTAGGAACCTCCGAAACAAGCCCGCCCCAGAATGAAGCGCGGCCCAGCAATAACAACAACAAGAAACGGGGTATCAGGGCAGGCTGTTCCTGGCGCGCGTCGAAGGAGGGAGTAGTGTCGAGCCCAGCGCGAGATCATCACTATCACTGTGGTCATTCTGCGTTATCCTGCCTGCTTTCTTCCCCTCGATACTCCTGGGTCCTGAGGCGGGTCAGGACGACGTGTGGTCCATGCTGAACATGGATCACATCCTGTCCCAGCTCCTGGAGGGGTACCACGGTACTATTATCGCCTACGGCCAAACGGGATCCGGCAAGACCCACTCCATCGAGGGCGTACAGTACAGCGACGCCGGCCAAGAACGAGTGGAGCCGGTTTTCCTGGAGCACACGCCCAAGGAAAATTATGGTCTCATCCCACGAATCGCGCACGCCATCTTTGCAAAAATCACAGATGCAGGCCATGAAAATACGCTGCAGCGCCGGCCCAATCATGAAATGAAAAACAAGAAGCCGGAAATGAAGAGCGAAGTGGACGCAGAAGGAGATGAAGCAGCACTGCTTGCCTGTGAAGAGGAAGACGGCGAAACTGGTACTAGCAGTGACGATGCAGGACCGCTGGACGCAGGGACAGACGCTGAGAAGCTTGGGAGAGACGCAAAAGTTAATAGCTCGTGCATATTATGTCGGCCTCCGCTATGGGTGTGTAAGGTTTGAAATAATTGACAAATAAGAATAAGTTGCTTTATAGCGAATGCATAAGATAAAGATTATCGACGCCAGTCGACGGCGTCGGAGTCCCAGTTTCTAGTTGGTGCCTGAAAAAATTTTTCAGCGCCGAAATCCAGTTTATCGCGTTGTTTGGGCAGGGACGACCTCTTTCGTGACAAAACATATATAAATCCAGTTACGATAGGGCTTCTAAAGTAGCACGACGACGTCGTGCTACTTTAGAAGCCCTATCTCCAAGCAACCGCAAACAGGCTACTTGCAATGATCTTCTTCACTTACCTGCTCTCTAATGCTTGCAGGCACTCTGCGCCTTATATTTTTCGGATTAGAACATGGGGCTGCGTTCCCGGTTTCGGTCGGTTTAGCTTCACGAGTTATAAATATATTACATCTACTAAGAACTTTGTCCTTGTCGATTATTTCAAGCCTGACGCTTCCATAGCAGCTAGAACGCGCTCAATTTGAACAATACGGAGCCCGCTTATGCCTGTGCAAGTGCATGATAGAGTGCACAGGCGTGTTGATCCTCTGCGCGCTGCAGCTTGGCGTGACAGGTTTTGATGTACGGATTTCTTCGATGCTTTTTGACCTTCTCCTTCGGTATTTTCATAGATATATCCGTGGGTCCGTGTAATCCCAGACCGCCATCCGAAAGAGCAAGAGAGACGCGAGTCATTCGCTTTGTCCATCGCAGACTGTTCGAGGCGGAGTGATTGTATTATCCGAGGCTTTCATAATGCAAGACCGACGAGCAGCCTGGTGAGCCTGACGCTAGCAGCAACGTGGAGCGGAATTTTGAGGTTCGATGCAGCTTTTTGCAGATTTACAACGAGAAAATCTATGACCTGTTGAGTTCAGAAGTCGCGGAAACCTACATCGGTTGCGATGACGACCGTGGAGGTCCTCGTAGAAAGAGAAGAACATGCGCCGAAGCCGATGATGAAGCCAACGAGCACGAGGAACAAGATGAAGAGAGAGCACATCTTTCAGATGCGGGCTCTGTATACGACGAAGAGAGCGAGTTCGACGACCACGGCGCAGACTGCGAGACGAGCGACGCCGAGAAAGATGCGAACGGAGACGTTTCATCTTCTGCATTAATGAAAAGCGCACCTCCTCGCAAAAAGAGCAAGCTGCCGGATGATATGGAGAAAACTAGAACTACATCAATTTGTGCGGGCAACAAGAGCGCCGGTACCGGATCTGCAGAAGCAAGTATGGCCGCGCCATCACGGAAGCCCTACGCAGGCCGGAGCAGTATATCGCTTGCGAAAATCTCGGGCCGTCGAGGCCGAGGACGGCATCTCCGGCTTCGACATCAAAGAGGCGAGTTCTTTGCAGAGGATTTACTGGAATGCAACTGCAAGTGCCCCCAAGAGTTGCTCAGGTATTTCCAGGCGGGGATCCGAGCGCGCGTCATCGCACAGACAATCATGAACCAGTGTTCCAGCCGGAGTCATGCAATTTTTGAAATCACTGTGGAAAGTAAAAAGCTCGGGAGCAGAGCAAAGCTGCAGCTGGTAGCAGACCCCCAGGAGTGTGTTTCTGTTCTTTTCATTTTGATCAAGTAAAGATAGCTTTTGATTCAAATATGCTTGATGTCGATGTCACGGTGTAATAAATTTGATTCACAATTGTCACGTCCTTTCTCCAAAAAATGGAAATCGAAATACGATCTGTACGAGTAGAAGCTAGGCGGGCCGCACCCGATCATATCAATCATTCGCATGTAGGTGGACCTTGCCGGGTCTGAGCGTCCTTTCGCTCGCGCTAATTCAACTGGAGTAACCGGCGACACTGGTGCGGTGACTTGTACTAGCAGCTCCGCGATATCGTCTGCGACCAGCACACCTCGCGGAGAGCGTTTGCAGGAAACGGTGCAAATCAACACGTCCCTTTTCATCCTGCGGAAAGTCATCACCGCACTAGCTTCTGGGTCCAGGAACAAGCACATCCCTTTTCGAGAGAGTAAAGAATGACAAATATTTTTATATATTATAGCATCAGTCAACCACATCCATATCACATCGACAGTTCCTGTTCCAACTTGGCAGTTACGATAAGGATAAGCATATCGATGTCATCGTTTTTCCGAGTGGAGTTGTTGCACATTGTCACTTTCGCACAATGATTGAAGAGTGCAGTTTTAGTTGTGGTAGCACGGACATACTCGATGAAACTCCAAAATGATAGGTAAGCTGACATGTCTGCTGCAACACGCAATCATCCAGGGGAATTCCAACACGATAATGCTTGCCTGTATTTCGCCGGCTCAGGAATATTTGCAAGAATCGCTGAGCACGCTCCATTACGCCTCATTGTGCTCGCGATTGAAGACATACCCCTGCCGCAACGTGGACCCGAACCTACTGATGATTGACAGCTTGAAAAAGTTGCTGCTAAAGGCACACAACTACATACGTGAAAAAGAGGACGGAAAACTGCCGCCCGCGCTGCTCGAGCTGTCCCCGGATGACGAAGACCAGCGGGAGGGTTTCGGGGAACAAAACCAAGAGCTGGCAGCAACACTCACGGGCCTCCAACTGCAGCCGCTGGCAGCATCATCTGGAGGAGTCGCTATCTCTACTTCATCGGCGTTTGCTGGGCCGCATAGCTCGTCGACGCATAGCTCGTCGACGTATCTGGACATGTACACTACTAGTCAACAGAAGGGCAGCATGCAATCCCGTGCCACGGCGGGATTGAACTATGGTACTACTGGGAGCGGACATAAAACAGCAGAAAAGCTCCTGCGTAATCGGTTTGCTGGAGCCTATTACACCGATACCGGCGTGGGTGGAGGGGGCGCGATAGGTTATCTGCGTCCTGGTGAAGAGTTGGGCTTCATGGAGGCTCTTGCTCCTGAGCAGAACTCGCACAACCTAGCCCCATCGGCTTCTAAAAGCGGTCATTCCTCTCGTTACTATCAATTTCCGGGAGGCCGCGAAAACTCCGGACTCGGATTGGGAGCAAGCACGGTTCAGGCATATGGATGCCCAGCTTCTTGTTCTTCCTCTGCAAAAAGGACTACGGATGCTCCAGGTGGAAACAACCTAGACCACGATAACTGCAACAGAAGTATAAATATGACTTTCGTAGCAAGTGTTTAATAGTTCTCGCAGGCTTCTTGTTGTAGGCTTGTGCAAATAAAGCAGATATTGATAGACGGCTGATGTAGAAGTAGAAGTGACTTGCCAAACACGACCGCTACACAGGATACACGAATATTGAATCCGAAGTGTATTATAATGGCAAAAAGTCGAATCAGGAGCGTCCCTGACCGCCGGATTTTCGGCTTAGAAGGCTCGCTGCGAAAAAAAAATGCCATATACTTACTTCGTTATATTATGTGCCGATGCCGGAGCCGGACAGCAAAAGAAATAACTTACGTACGCTTTCGCTTTCAGGTGGTGTCAGTGTGCGACGGCTGGCCCGGTGGTTTCATGCGCAAGACGATCTTTTCTATGGCATTAAAAAGCCCGACGTTTCAAAACCATCAGCAGATCTCCTCGAAAACGCGGTACGTAAGCATCTGGCTTCTTCCTCCAGAAGTGCTCATCAAGCGAGAGTAACTGAAAGCGACGAATTGAAGCACGACGAGGACGCCAGCGGCGAGACCGCGACTGCAACATCGCACAGCAGCACGACGAGGAAGAACCGGTCGAGTCTACTCTCAGGAACTGAAGAGGAAATGTTACGCAGGACGGCCGACCAAGATCAAGAACAAGATAGCGGAGGACAGGAAAAATCCAGTCACGAAAATCCAAATCTAGCAAGCCCAAGTTCCGATGTGCTGCGCAATAAACGTGGTGGCCTCTCATTTCCGATAGTTATGTCGCCCGTGTTTGAGGGCGAGAACGAGGACGCAGAGAGTGTTCTCGAAGCAGATCCTCCGAGGACCGCTTTTTCGACGAGCTTTGATCGTCCCCGCACACCCACCAGCACTCGAATGACCACACCTCCGATATCGGCGGCCACGGTGAGCTCTGCAAGCTCGTTGCGAGCCAGCAGACATTTAACGCAACGTGCGAACAGCTGCCGCCGTGGCGGGAAGATCATGGTTGCTGCAGACGTCGACCTTCAACAAGAAGTCTCACCCAAGCTGGCCGCAGGGGTTGTGGATATCAATAGTAGCAAGGGCGGCCCCTCGTCCTCCTCCTCGTGGTCAGGCGGAGCGACCTCGACTAGAGACCCGAGGCCAATAGACGGTATACGGAAGGTCGAAGCTGCCCGTCCCTCCGAACAAGAAGAGGACACAGCTTTCCGTAGAAGTCTATCTACGATGCGCAGGACGACAATGCCGACCACGAACTCTTCCAGAGCGGCTTCGAAAGAGAAGACTGTGCCAGGAATACTCGGAGTTGCGGTTTTACCAGAATTATGCTCCACCAATGCCAATGCGAGAGCGAGTACGATTACGAGTGCTAGAAGAACAGATGCTACGACCCCTGCTGGAGCGCGCCCAAGTAGACCTTCAGGAAGCAAAACTGCATTAGCATCCATCTCAAGGCGGCGGAAAACGAAAACTTCCGCAGGCGATCCAGAAGCTAGCTGTAGTGCTGCTAGTACTGATGACACCGCGAACAATCAGAATCAACGCAATCGGCATCGAAGTGACATTCCAAGTTCCATGGGTAGTGGCAGGCCCACGTCAGCCTCTGCAACTCGGAGCACCGTCTTACGACCTTCTCAAATGTTCAAGGTCGAGTTGCTTTCCCAACGTGTTGCTCCTTTTTTGCATGTTTGGGATGCAACATCCTTTTTGTTCTCGCGGATCGTGCTTCCGAGTAGATATTAGCTCGAGCAGGTCACGAACCCAATAAAAAGAGCCGAACGACGACCAAATTTGTTAGTCAGTGTTGAGGCTTCGCAGCACAGTAGCTATTCACTGTATCTGAGTCGGCTGGTGCAAAGCGCTGCTTTATCTCCTGGGCACTTCTAGACAAAACTGGCGGAAGTGCAGCCGGAAGGTCGAGTTATGTGATACATCTGCACGGAAAAGAAAGGCATACCGAGGTGAGCCAGGGTAGCTGATGCCGTCATTGTCATTCACGGCCAAAAGAAAAATAAAAATAATTAAAATACTTTTGAGCTGCTTCACGTTAAGCACCCCTGAGAAGGCCATACGTCTCCGACTTTCTCGACGGATTTTTGGCAGCCGACGACGACGACGAATTTTTGAACACGCGCTTGGACCAGTACCTCGCCGATACGCGACTGAGCACGGACAATCAAGCCATTCAGGCCAAGTCCTTCCTCGAAGACGACGTGGACCCCGCGCACGCGTTGAGCCTGCAGCGCGAGATTTTTGCAGGCGGCGATGTAGTTTTCGGAGGCGAGGTGATGTGCGAGCCTGCAGCGCCGTTATGGATGGAGCAGGAGCAAGGAGAAGGATGTCGTTCTTTCGACGTAGCAGGATTAAAAGATATTGATACTCCTCCTTGTTTGGTCACTACCTTTAAGGGTTTTGACGCTCGGCATTTACCCGAAGTGGAAGACGCATTCGCTAGCATCAATGTCGCTCAAAAGAAGTACAGCGCGATCATGAGATCGAATCTCGCGAACGGCGCCCTTCGCGGTTCGCGGACGCAAGGAGGTAAGGAATTTCAGGACGACCAGGACGAGCACCCGAAATTTTTGAATTCCGGCCCTGTCTCGATTGACCGGTCTTGTGACGTTCAGCACCACCAGCAGCAGCTCCTGCAGACGACGGTAAACACATCGCGGAACACAACAAGAAACCAATACCTCGCTGCCCCTGCGGCCAACGACGGTGGTGGAAAAAATGCAAACGGAACGTCGACCGGAGCACAGGCATATCCTGTAGTGTGTTCTCCTACGGCCGCGCATGCGTACGGTCAGAGCTGCAGCCCGGAACGAGCGGAGAACCTTCGTCTCGAAAATGAGCGCCTCTCCGAGCAGGTGAAGGAGCTGCAAGAGTTATATTGTGTAAAAGCGTATGATTATGCACCCAAGAGTTGTCACGCAGATCTAGCATAAGCTACTGTACTACTCCTACCGCTCGTGCTTGCGAATGGATCGATGCGCTGCAAGTGTTTTGTCCCGCATCGGCATCGCCCTGCCGGTGGTGCGGTCCAGCCACAGCCTCCTCCGATATCAGGTGTGCAAAGGGAGAGGTTTGTGGTCCACCAATTAAGTATCGCTGGATCTTCCGTCGCAAAAAAGTGTGGTGCGAAACGGATTGGCCGCTGGATCATATTTTATGGTGCGGCGCCTTGGCCTTTCACGTCGGCGACTGGTCGTGGGTAGGTCCCAACGACTTTTACAGGCGGCCAGAAGTGCCCAGCTGCCTTTCCACCCCGCCGGGATATGCTTAGCCTGTGGCGCCGGGGGTGGTGACCATGACATGTGCAGGATGACGATGACCATGAATGATTCATGACACTGAAGATTTTGCGGCTCCCGCTCCCCGTGCAAGGAGTTCGCTACTGTTCGGCGGAACAAGTAGGGGTCGTGCCGCTTCTCAAGTACAAGTGAGTATGATGATACAGATGAACTAAGATTAACGGAAAGTGTTTGTGATTGTAGCAGGGCTACCACCACTACAGTTACAACACCCATGTTGCGGAAGATCCAAGTTAGTTGTGTGACATGCACCTGCAACGCTCAAAGCATTGCTTGATCTCTGTGCTTGCACTTCGCATCGACTTGCACAAAAACTTTTCCCCATCTTGATCTACTTGAACATGGGTTGGCTACGTTTTTACTCAGTGTAATGGTCTCGAAGTTCGCTGGAAAATCGTATCAAGGCTGCTGAACTGATGGCCGCAAAATATGAAAGCCTTAGCTGGAACAAGTTCAACTGGAACGATTCGCGTCGCGAGGTCTGACTCTGGGTGGTTTTCAGCGTGAAAAACGTAAGTATCCAACTTCGCACTGCATGCGCATAGAAACTATCTATCTTACAGCTACAAACTCAAATTCTGTCGGGCCACTCGCTAGAAGTGGCAGCAGTGCATATTTTTAAAGGGTCATGTGAACTGCCGCTGGACAGGGACTTTGCCTCTGCCCCGCCTTCTGTCGTAAGACAAGACTGGGCTTTGCATCGGATATTGCCAAATATGTACTCAAACAATCGACGGCAGTCCCCGGGCCCCTCATTGAATCCGCAAAAGGGAAAGCGCGCCGGCCGTGCCGATAATTCTTCAAATTTTGCGCCGCCGCCCATGCATTTTCTCGCGAGCAGAATGACCCCAGCCGCGCGCTCGGATATTTTGGCACGGACCCAGCAATGGGGGCGCGGGGCTTTGACAATGGCAAAGCGTTCGCCTCTATCCGGATATTGTTTGCCGAACCAATATCATTCAACTTCAAACATCAATCGACCACGCCACTCGCTCCCCGGGCCCCTCATTGAATCCGCGAAATTGCGTCGGTCGCGCCAGTAATTCCTAAGATTTTGCGCCGTCGCCCATTTTCTCGCCCGCGAGCAGAATGGCCCCAGCGCGCCCAGGTATTTTGGCGCGGATTCAATGGAGGCGCGGGGCTTTGAACATGGAGAAGCGTTTGCCTATATCCGACACAGCTTCCGCTTGTATTTGCTCCAGCTGAGCACGTCACACAAAATCGACCCTGGGAGACTCGGACCCCGATAAAGTCAATGTGGGCGCGGTATTAACTACCTGCTATTCCTTCGATAGATTAAGATTTACCAAAAAGTTACTAAAAAATCTAAATCGGTACAGTATATATGCTTCTCGCTGCAACAGGTAGCTACTCACGTTTTCTTTCGGCAACCGCAACCCGACCGAAAAAAAACACAGCAAAAACAAGAAGTCCATTTGAAGCGGCGCGCCGTTGCCTGCGGTTCCCGGGCAGCTTTCGCTATGCGGTCGGGATCTGGGTTTTGGTCGAGCACCAGCCTGAAGGAAAAGGCTTCCCGTTGACTATGGCGACTGCCGCTGCGACAAGTTGAGTCAATGAATTGCTACTCCACTCTGACTCTAGATACAAGGCCGCAGCTTATGTCGCGCAGTGGGAGGGTGAGCGAGTGGACAGGGGGGAAAGAAAAACGCCAGAGGATGGGCAAGGGAAAAGATTTCTGAGGCAGGGCGGGGCCAAGCATCTGCGCCGCTTCTAGTTGAAAGAACCAAGGCGGAGCGCCATGGCGCCCGTGGTAGTTCCCGTCGTTGTGCGACCGCGAGGACCCCGCCCGCATTGGGCGCGCGCCCGAGGCGGCAAGCCTTAGGCCCAACAGCGCAAAGGCAAAGCGCGGCAGCGGGCGGGCCCCAGTGGACGGGGGAAGGAAGCAGGAGAACAGCCCGCGCCATGCGCGGCGCCTGCGCGCGACGCCCTGGCCGCGCGTTTGCTGTGTGAGCGGCCCGTCCGTGCCGCCTGCCGGTGCGCCGGCCCTGCCCCTGCGCGCCTTCATGCTCTCCCGTCCATCTCCCGCGCGCAGCCTTGCAGGACAGGGGCGCGCTCCTGGGGCCCCTGCCGCGCGTGAGGGTAGAGGACGGGCGCCGGGGCGGGGCATTCATTGTTTTCCAGGCGCTTGGGCCCACCAACCTCCCCCCGCACCCCCCGGACAACTATGGCTCCCCACGCGCTGGCCCGCACGCAATCTGTTCCGCTCCCGCCTTCCCTCGCGCGCAGCCAGCCCCCAAGACAGAAACGGCGGACGGTGGCGCCCTCCTACCGCCCCCCCGCGAACAGGGGGGGGGGCGTCGGGGGAGGGTGGTGGGCAGCTGCCCGCCTCCCCGCCTGGTGTTAGTTGGGGCGCGGTGGGTCTGCCCCGTGGGCCGATGCTTCCCGGCTTCTTTCCCCTTGCCCCGCGCCCGCCTTCCCCGTGCTTCCCGCTTTCCCCGTGCTTCCCGC